CCTTTCACGCTTTGCAGCATTAGGCGTTAGTAAAAACAGAAACAGATATTGGTCTTTAATGGAACAGTAGCTAATATGACATCCAGTACTGAAAATTAATGCTTTACCTGTTGGTTATTAATTGTGAGGCAAATTCCTCTTTTATGCTCAATTAACACTCCAGTAAAGTGTAATGAGCTATGCCAATAGAAATTTAACGTTTCATTTTAATTCTTAATGCAGTCAAGGTAAAATGAATTGTCAAGATCTGTATTTATTAGAATTAAAGAAGAACTGCTTGAAAATCATTTCAGTATAAGAATTCGTGGAAAATATAATATTCAGCTGCAGGCTCTGTATTCCATGGTTATGTATAACTTAAAACTCAGGTCAGTTCCTACATTTCTTTCTCGAGACAGACAGATGCCAAGAACAACACTAAATGCTGTATCCCGTTGAAACAAATACTTGAAAATAGGTCTTTTACTATTTTCTTACCTGGTTTGAAAATGGTTGCATTCTCCATTGCGCAGGGCTGGGAGTTCCAAGTCATCTCGGAATTTCCCCATTAATCTCCAGCTTTGTCAAAATGGGATGCTATCCCATTAACGTCTATGTTCTCATCTGTGTTTGTTAATAATCCACATATTGTGGATAATGAAAATGGAAACATACGGGCCACTTCTTTCAGCCTCTAGACTCCTCCCCTTCGCAGAGAAAGGCTAAGTCACACTTTTCTGCTTGCCCACACTTTTACAATGATACCGCATATTATCTCGGGAAAACAATTTGCCGCCTGTGTTTTCACTGCTTATCATATAAATACGCCGCACAAAATCCAAACTGATCAGGTTTTGTTTTGTGTAGATGCTTCTAAGGAATCCTAGGAAACCAATCCAAAGTACACAACAGCAGCTAGCTAGCTAGCTAGCTACCTTTGTGGATCTTTCTGCTCACAGCACTGGCACCTCCGTTTGCCATTGTGGTTCACTGGTTAGTGCGTCGGACTGGGGCATCAGGGAGCAGGGTTCAAATCTCCACTAAGCCATACATCTCACTGGGTGACCTTGGGCCAGTTGCTGCCTAACCTACCTCACTGGGTTGTTGTGAGGTTTTAATGGGGAGGGGCAGAACCATGCATGCCACCTTGAGGTCCTTGGAAGAAGGAGAAGAAGAAGAAGAAGAAGAAGAAGAAGAAGAAGAAGAAGAAGAAGGGGAGTTTGGATTTGATATCCCGCTTTATCACTACCCGAAGGAGTCTCAAAGCGGCTAACATTCTCCTTTCCCTTCCTCCCCCACAACAAACAATCTGTGAGGTGAGTGGGGCTGAGAGACTTCAAAGAAGTGTGACTGGCCCAAGGTCACCCAGCAGCTGCATGTGGAGGAGCGGAGACGCAAACCTGGTTCACCAGATTATAAGACTACTGCTCTTAACCACTACACCACACTGGCTCTCTAGAGGAAAAGCCAGAGTTCAGTGTAACAAGGAAGGGAGGATCTTCCCTTTGTTGGTGGCCCATTTTGAGAAGGACGTAGTAGTTTTAGTGAATAGTACCTCTTAGAGATTTTTTTAAAAATATTAGGTGTTACATAAATGCTTTAAATAAACAAACAATAGCCTTCCCAAGCTGACAAATGTTTGCCATTGAATCCCATGACCTTTGCTTGTCCAGGCTTCTCTTTAGCCTCTGGTGTGGTTATTGGTGTGCAGGTGGCATCACTCGGAGAGTCCTATCTTAAGGAAGAGCTGCTGGTGACTGGCCTTTATTTTAAGAACATAAAAAGAGCCTACTGGACCAGGACAGTGGCCCTTTCAGTCCAGCATCCTGTTCTCACAGTGGCCAACCAGATGTTCCCGCATTCAGGAGGGCTTGTCTTATGTTCTTATGAAGAATTTGTTTCCATCACAAAGTGGCATTGCAAAGGTTTACTCGTTCCAACTTCTCTTGTGGTCGCTTTTAGTATTTAATCTCTGTGGTTTGATATTCACATTTTAAAAAATGGTAAAAGGTAAAGGACCTCTGGATGGTTAAGTCCAGTCAAAGGCGACTATGGGATTGTGGCGCTCATCTCACTTTCAGGCCAAGGGAGCCGGCGTTTGTCCACAGACAGCTTTCTGGGTCATGTGGCCAGCATGACTAAACCACTTCTGGCACAACAGAACACCGTGACAGAAACCAGAGCACACAGAAGCGCTGTTTACCTTTCCACCACAGTGGTACCTATTTATCTACTTGCACTGGCGTGTTTTCAAACTGCTAGGTTGGCAGGAACTGGGACAGAGCAACAGGAGCTCATTCCATTGTGGAGATTCGAACCGCTGACCTTCCTATTGGCAAGCCCAAGAGGCTCAGTGGTTTAGACCACAGCACCACCCATGTTCCTGATTGATATTCATATAATTGCCATAGAAATTCTCTTCCTGATGTGTTAGCTTGTTACTTGCAGGGAAGTGTTGCTTCTGTACATGAGAAGGTTTTTCAAAAGGGGTATTTCAACCTGCTGTCTGACATGGCACAACCCACCTTGCTGTCCCAGGACCCTTCCACCTCATTGGACTGCCACACATGTCAATCTGGCCTTAGTCCTACTAAAATCAATTAAAATTCAAGCACCACAGGTCATGGTTTGAACCACCTGCTTTTTTTGTGTTAACCAATTAGCTTCCTGAAATAGAAGCATTTCAACGAAAGCCATTAGCGTAAGCTGCTTTGTAGCCCCTTTAAGTATTTTTCATTGTGAGAAATGATTCTATTTTAGATGCTCGTTCTCCCTGACTTGCCTCCTGAAGCATCGCTCATGGCACTTAGCCATCACTTACTTCTACATTGCCTCATTAGGAAGAAGTGGTATGTTAACTTTTCAGTGTTAAATAATGTCAGCACTCAGCCTACTTTCCCCCCTTTTTTGGTTAACGCTGCTCTCTAAGTAGGGTAATCACATTGCAGGAAGAGACTTCTACCATGGCCATATCTGAAACCAAAAGGGCTAGAATTTACCTCAGACCTGGGCTGGGGCTTGGGGAGAAATCGTTAAGATGGGAATACAGTATAACCGTAGCTCTAACTCAGTAAAAGAAGCCTTTAGCTTTTTCACAGAGAATAAAATATGCTGTAGATATCCAGTTAGGATGGAGATTAATGACTTTATTCTTAGCATACCACCAAGCTGAATGCTGTCAGCAGGTCTAATTACTCTTCTGTATGGCTGAGTTGCCACAATAAACATTCTTTTGTTGTGTTTCCCATCAAATACATTCTCCGCTAACAGGACTCTTAAAGCCAGTTCAGACTGAGTTGAAGTAGTTCTCTTGGGTTGCAGTTCTAAACTTGCTCGCACAGGAGTAAGCGCCATATCATTCAATGTGGCTTACCTCTGAATAGGTACGGATGAGATTGCGCTGTTGCAAGTCTGTGGGGTGGGGCAAGGTGAGCAGCCAATGGCATCTTATCTCTCTCATTTGATCAACTTGAATCAACCCAGGCCCTACATGCTAGCGGGACTGAATGTGCTACTCTGAGCAACACAACAGAGGAGAGTCCAGGAAATATTACTCGTAGAGAGACTATGCCCTTGTGGACAGAGACAAATAGAATCTATCACACATGTTATTTTGCACTGCCCCTGGTATCAGATAATACAATCCAAGTTTATTAATCAGTTGGTTGTTAGCAGGGAGTGGCATTCAGGCGAATGTAAGGTAGCCTTCCTCAGCATGGAGATAGCAATCAGGTTTCTGCAACATGCACAGAGGATTCCTGAATGTTCTACAACACTAATCTAAGTGTTAAAAAGGTCAAGGTAAAGGCACCTCTGACCATTAGGCCCAGTCGTGACCGACTCTGGGGTTGCGGCGCTCATCTTACTTTATTGGCCGAGGGAGCCGGCGTACAGCTTCCGGGTCATGTGGCCAGCATGACTAAGCCGCTTCTGGCGAACCAGAGCAGCGCACAGAAACGCCGTTTACCTTCCCGCCAGAGCGGTACCTATTTATCTACTTGCACTTTGACATGCTTTCGAACTGCTAGGTTAGCAGGAGCAGGGACCAAGCTCCCATCACAGGGATTCGAACCGCCAACCTTCTGATCGGCAAGTCCTAGGCTCTGTGGTTTAACCCACAGCGCCACCCACATCCCAAATCTAAGCTTTAGATGCAGGTTTTTGTTTAGCTGGTGATATATAATGATGCTGAAAAGCAGATACTGTATTGCCCAGCCCTAGTCATGGGTGGGATGGCAGAGTTGAAGGACACACCCCAGCCAGACCAAAACACTCAAAGTAGGGCCAGAAGCAGGTGTGACTAGGGAGGGGTTGTGCCCTGAGGAGAGACGTGGAAGGGCCACTTTCAGCCCCCAACCCCAGGCCACATCCATTAAACTTGCACATTTACTGAAATACCCATGAACACATGTATACTAGCTTGAGGAACTTTGGCCGAGGGAACAGCAGAACTTTGGAATCCAAATTATTCCTTTGGGAGTCAGCAGTCCAAATTATCCAAGCAACCCAGAAGCTGCCTCACCCACACACCCCACACCCACTTGTTCTTCCTAGTATAATATCTCAACAGGCCCAACAAGAAAATACTATGATGTGGGAAGGAGTGTGTGCCAGGCCACAGCAGGAGCTTTGGAGCCAACGTTCTGCGTGTCTCGTTCTGTGGGAGCCACAAGCCAATTCTTTCATTCACACAGAATCAACAAAAACTGCACCATTCCAAAAACGCTTTGAAGTCAAATGTATGCATGAATGTGACACGAGTTTTCCAAGCCACATCACAACCGCCAGGAAGGGGTATTTCTGTTTACCGTGTAAACAGATGCCTTACAATGGAGCTGCCGACCATATTATTCGCCAAACCTGCGCATTTGCATGTTTATTGGAGTTTGATTCAATCATTGAACCTCCTAGGCAAATATAGACCTGCCACCTGTGTTTTCTCCCTCTCGTATTAGAGCAGTGGAAAACCTGTTGGGCGAACATTTGTTTTAACATGTTTCTTAACCATCTTCTCATTGCAGGCCAATTACTCCGATTGAAAATGTTCCGAGAGGACCACGGGTCTTGGATGACAATGTTCTTCAGCACCATCCTCTTCCTCTTTATTTTTTCTCACATATACAATCTGTGTCTCCTTATGGCAGGTTACATGAGGTAAGCTGTGTTTCCCTAAACCATATCCTCTTAATTAGCTCTTTTGGGTGCCGTAACAGATTGGTCACTGCGTAGCTAACAGAGAGCCTATGGTCCTCCAAATGTTCTGGGACTCCAACTCCCACCAGTCCCAGCCAGCATGACCAATAGTTAGGGATTATGAGAGCTGCAGTCCAGAAAACATACTGCGTGTGACAGGTCTGCATTGCGGAGTGAATCAGATTCATTCCTATCCTTGAATATGGCACAAATATTTTCATACCTGAAAATTGCAACTTGAGTGGTGAATACAACTTGAGTTCCTGGAAGTGTGTATGTGGTTGTTGTTGTTGTTTTAATGCTCATCAGTTTCTGGCATATGGCTAGAAAAGAAGCGAAGGACACGGGCCTGCTGATTTCAGGCTATCATGTCTTTTAAATTTTACTAGGGGGCGGCACCCACCTGCATTCTCCCGCCTCCTGCTCCACATTTTCTCCCTCTTTCTATGTTTCACAAACACACACATAACCTGCATCACAACCCTCCCAGACCCTGCAATTGGGGGACACCAGGGCAGTAAAGGGCTACCCAGGGCAGCCCCAGAAGACATCTCACTTGGGGTCACCTCAAACATAGCAGTGCCTCTGTGCAGGTGACCTATTTTATTCCATGAGCCCACCAGTCAAGTATGGCAGCTCATCAGGAACTTGTTACATTCCCTTGTTTTTGCTTATTAGCTGGGACAATAAAATGGGGAAGGAGTAAACGGAAGGTGTCAAGAAAATGGCATGAATTTTGTTGAGGTTACTTCTGGTCAAACACGGTGTGTGCTGCTTTTGGGGAAGCTGTCTTTCCTTTTTCCTTTTTCCCAGTGCTCTTTTCTGAAGGGGATAAGCATCCCTGCTGCTGAATGGGGGAGCTTTCCCCCTTCAAAAACACACAAACAAGCCAATAAACCAAACCAAACATGGTGTTTTATAAACAATGAAAGGAAACACACATTTTTTCGAGGATTCGAAATACCAGAGAAGCCATTATATGCAGCGGCGCACAGGAGGGACCAGGGGCTGGGTGTGAAGAGTGCACAAAAGCTGCCACACCAGCCGAACCCTTGCCACTGGGTGGGCATGGGGCACAGAGGGTTCATGGGCCACACTGTGCTGCGTACCTGTGCAGGGGGGAGCCCATCTGGCCTTGGCAGACAGGCAGGGTGGGGATCCCGATGGGGTCGTGCATCCTCAAAACCATGTGCCTGGGGCTACAGCCCCACTAGCTCTCCCCACGCTATGGCCCTGGTTATATGTTAGCATCTCAACAGACTCTCTCTGAGGACACATCACCCTGGCTGAAACTTAGCAGGTCTTGGCCTTCTCACTGTCTGCCACAAGTGAGGGCTGTCTGCCACAAGGGGGCTGCCTAAGTGCCTCTGTCCCCATCGTTCTGCCAGGACACTGAGGTCCAGCTCCGAGGGCCTTCTGGCGGTTTCCTCACTGCAAGAAGTGAGGTTACAGGGAACCAGGCAGAGGGCCTTCTCGGTAGTGGAACACCCTCCCATCAGATGTCAAGGAAATAAACAACTCTCTGACTTTTAGAAGACATCTGAAGGCAGCCCTGTTTAGGGAAGATTTTAATGTTTGATGTTTTATCGTGTTTTCAATATTCTGTTGGGAGCCGCCCAGAGTGGCTGGGGAAACCCAGCCAGATGGGTGGGAAACAAACAAACAAACAACAACAAACAAATGTGCGGGGCTCACAAGATGGTCCCTATGGACACATACCCTTTGATGCTCACCAAGACCCCTTGCCCCTTCTGGATTTTAATTTAAAAAACCCCCAGAGTTTTACAAAACTCTTTGCTTCTCTGATTGGGAAGCATTGCCTGTCTCCCCCTCTTTTTTTGTGGTGTGGTGGAGTGGTGTAGCCTGTTGTTTGTATAATAATAATAATAATAATAATAATAATAATAATAATAATAATAAATTTTATTTATACCCCACCCTCCCCAGCCAAGACGCCTAACAACCAATAATAAAAACAAGTTGATTAAAATACAGTTTAAAAAGCAACTTTAAAATACAACATTAAAAACATTAGGATGCAGCCTCTTCACAGGAGGAGAAAGGAAAAAGAAAGAGGGGGAGGGAATCAGACGGATTCTAAAGCCAGGTGAAACAACTCTTTTTAGAGAGAGGATAACTCTGAGAATTCCCACGGTTCTGTGAAATGCACATTTTGTAGTGCACAGAACAAGGATCCCTCCCAAATGCACCATTGGACCCAAAGAGTTTGGGCACCCCGATCTACACCATCTCAATGTGTATTGAGGAATCAGGGCAAAATGTATTGATATCAGATCATTATATTTCAGGAGAGATTGTACACTGCCACAGAAGTATGAGTTGGCAGTTAAGGCACCATCATCTAAAACAGGGCAAGGAATCCAAAACCTTTCTGCCTTGCAAAACCCTGGGATGAAATCCAAACTGCCTTCTGAAATCAGCTCACAAAATCCTTTCCCACATCATATGGGTGTGTTAACATTCACCAGCATATTTCTGGGAAGAACCACAAGAGGGCAGCAAAAGGCTTTCAAAATCAGAAGAGCGGACGTATATTTTGGGACTTCAAAAGGGTTCAACATTTAGAAAGCTGTGAATGGTGATCAGTGTTGCTTACCATTCATAGAGGCGCGTACTGTGAAGAGTCAGAAATCCAGTAATACGATCCTATAGAGAACTTCTCCCAAATTATAATGTTCTTTGTGGTTTCCTATATTTTTTATCTTTATTTTTTTTAAAAAGAATTTAATTAGAATGGAGTTACTCTTGAAGAATTACGGTATTCAAGACAGGCTGGTAATGTGGCTTGTTATTTCAGTTATGGTTCTGAGTCATTGCTTTTCTTCTTCTTCTTCTTCTTCTAAAAAAGTATCACTAATTGCCTCTATGTGGTGGGGTTGGGCCAGAATTCATCATGTCTGCCAGAAAAGAAAGGAGATGGTTATAGGTCTAGCTGAAAAGAACTGGGTGACATCTCACCCCTTCTAAGCTCACTTTGAGCAATAAGCTGTTAGCCACCCAGAAATCACGGGGTGGGGGATATATCAATCTCAGAGGATATTTAGGGAAGCTTTTAATGTTTGATGTATTACTGTATTTTAATATTTGGTTGGAAGCTGCCCAGAGTGGCTGGGGAAGCCCAGCCAGATGGGCTGGGTATAAATAATAAATTATTATTATTATTATTATTATTATTCTCTGTGGCAGACCATAGCTAACAATGAAAAGTTTCAAAGAGTAAAGTCATCCAACTGGAATCCATTAGCACATTTAGAACCCATTAACATATTTGCCAGGGGGAAGTTTATTTATACTGTTGATCTTGCCACGTCGGTCGGTTCATTACCAGCAGCTACTGGTTGCCAGCCTGCTTGGATCATATCCGTCAGATCGAATCGGAAATTTGCACTCGGAAATTGTAATGTGCTGCATCTCTGTTTGCCTCCTGTGCTGCTTCATGTTTTGGGCTCTCTTTATTAAAAGAACACACATCTCGAATATTTCTTCTACTCTTTCTACCCCTCCCCCCTTTGTTGTGTGTGTATTTGATAAAAGCCTGTTAAAGCTTATAAAGGTAAAGGGACCCCTGACCATTAGGTCCAGTCGTGACCGACTCTGGGGTTGCGGCACTCATCTCACTTTATTGGCTGAGGGAGCTGGCGTACAGCTTCTGGGTTATGTGGCCAGCATGACTAAGCCGCTTCTGGCGAACCAGAGCAGCGCACGGAAACGCCGTTTACCTTCCCGCTGCAGCGGTACGTGCTTTTGAACTGCTAGGTTGGCAGGAGCAGGGACTGAGCAACGGGAGCTCACCCCGTCGCAGGGATTTGAACTGCCAACCTTCTGATAGGCAAGTCCTAGGCTCTGTGGTTTAACCCACAGTACCACTCATATATAAAGCTTATACGCCATGATAAATTTCTTAGGAGGAGTCGCTAACCAAGTGCTCCCTCTCCAGAACAAAACCCACTGAAATTAGTGGATCTTAGTTAGGCATGTTTATTGACTTCACTGGCTCTGCTTTAAGTTGGACTAACATTGGGCACATCTTTTAAGATACCCCAAGGCTCTGTTTTGGTTCCCTCCCTTCCTTTTGGGGTTATGCAGAAAGGAGCAAACCATTAAGGAAATTATGACTCTAGAGGAGTAGTACCCAGTTAGCTAAGGATTGTAGACCCGTTGTTTTTCAAAAGCCAAGCCACGGACACCTACTTTTGAAAATTTTGATATCTCTGTGGTAGTATTTTTTTATGTGAATGGTGCCGTGGACCAGCTGGGGTCTTTGGACCGCCAATTGGAAAACATTGCTCTAGAGGAGGAGCAGGGAATCCACACTCGCCAATACCAGTAAAAGAAAATGGGGTGTCCAGGCCACTTCATAGGCCTCTGCCTCAGATTTACATCAAGGTGTTGCCTGGGGTTACCATGGCAACACCTCACGTTTCTTTTGGAGTGTACTTGGATTGTATGGACAGCATTTTCAAGGTTTTGCTCCTTTTTATGAAAGCAATAATACCACATTCCCCACAGGTGATTCCCCCCCCCTTTTCCTGAGGAAATTTACAGTTTCTCAAACTCGAGAGCCTATAGATGATACACTGCAGCTCCCTGAAAGCATTTACACTCTCATTCAGTCAAGGTTTCCTTTGTGCAGAGAGAGACCAGAGAAACTGATTCCCTCGCATGTCAGAGCCCAGCTGAAGCCAGCGGATGATGCCACCTACTCCTGTTGCTTTAGCCATTGTTCTATGCAGCACTCAAGATAAGAGCAGGCAAATTTAATTGTATATACGCATTTTAAAAAATCAATAAGATTCTTAATTAACTACAAAAATCCCTTGCAACCTTGAGGTCCCCCCTCAAAAAGAATATGATATTCAAGATTGCCGAAAGAGAAATAATGTGAAGCTTTCATAATGTGATTATGCTCAAATTGGATATTCAAGGTTGAAATTATTGTT